TCTCTCTCTCTCTCTCTCTCTCCCTCTCTCTCTCTTTCTTTCTTTCTTTCTTTCTTTTATTAATACTATGATTGCATTCACAGTCCAATAGATTGTATTCTGATATCTATTGTGCCGAAACTACAGACACGGACACGGGTTCTAACACATGGTTTACATCAAACACATTGTCATATATTGTGGCAATACTTGTGTTGATTCTGATTGTGTCGACAATTATTGTCGCTTTCATTGCCTATCGATTCAATGGTAGACAACAATCAAAGCAACGAATTATCAAAACAACACAAAGAACGGATCCAAAGCTCAAAACAATACAAGAATATTGAAATAGTAATTTATTATTTGAAAAGACTTTTCAAAAGCACAATATTTTGTAGTTTAGTTTTAATTTTGATATTTATTTTTGTATCCTTTTCTTAAACTCAAAATAATTATCATTTTTAAATGTAATTTTAAATATTTGACAAAACTTTATAATTAAATACGAATTGTCGACTAAAGTTTGGTTTAAACTAGTAATGGGCGTCCCCCTAGCGGCGTTCAATAAAAATTCTTCATTTAATTTTCATACAGTGTACTGTATAAATTATATATCGATTAGGCCCCACACATGTATGAAACTGAACAAGGTTAATGAAAATGGNTACTGTATAAATTATATATCGATTAGGCCCCACACATGTATGAAACTGAACAAGGTTAATGAAAATGGAACGCGTTCCACTTTTGCCCAAGCAAAGTTTAAACAAATGTGAATCTTAATTGGATATAACAGTAAATAAAACTACAACATCTAATAAAAATCACATTTTATTATTTCAATTTAAGATTACAAATAACACATTGAATGATAAATGTTTGACAACTTATTTGCCGTTAAATATGATATAAAAATCTTATTTTGCTTTCATTTGTGGTATACTTTTGAAAATATATTTATCAATAAAATTTATAACAAGAGTAGACGACAAGTGCGCCGACGGTTACGCCAATCAGAAATGGTATGAATTTGTCGGCCGATTGACACCGAGTCTGACCATTAATAGATCCGGAAGACGCCAAAGAGCTCGACCTCGAGGTCAGGGAACTGGACGCTGAAGACGGCCTACGATTCATATCTGTTGATAATTATTACTAAATATCTATTGATTAGTCTTTTTGTTGATATTTGTGTTTTATGTTTGACTTATTATATGAAATACTATTTAAATTTAATTCAAACAATTAGTCTCGTTATTATTAATGCAATTTTTAAAATAAAATACATTTTAAATTGAATTGAATTTAGTTTTATTTTACTTCAAATAACAAACGATTAAAAGTTACACAAAATATTATAAATGTTGATTACAAACATAAATATGACAATTAAAATGTTTGGTAGAAAACCTCAAATTATTTTAAAATAAGTTTCAATGAAAATAAGAAATGTTATTAAAATGTTATTAATATTAATTGGATTTAAAATTTAATTTTTACTCAAATGACGACAAATTTTGTGTCGAGTTAATTGTGATTTTTGTGTAAAACATTTGTCACAATCAATGAAATCACATTTAAATGGTTTTTCTCCCGAATGAATGCGTTTGTGTGCATTTAAAGTCGATGTTCGAGCAAAAACTTTACCACAATTTTCATCATTACATTTGAATTTCTTCTCTTTTAAATGAACACAACTTTTGTGTGAAACTAAACTGTTCTTCGAGGCAAAGCTTTTATTGCAATCAATGAAATCACAAACAAATCGCTTATTTAAATGAATACTATTTTTGTGTTCAATTAATTGATCATTTCGTCGAAACCTTTTGCGACAATATTTAAAATCACAAACAAATGGTTTTTTTGCGAGACTTTTAGTACAATTTACTTCACTATTTATAAATACTTCTGGCTTTAAATGAACAGATGTTTTGTGATAAACCAAACCATCTTTTGTTGTAAAACTTTTGTCACATCCGTTAAAATCACAATTAAATCTCTTATTTAAATGAACGCTCTTTTTGTGTGAAAGTAAATTTCCTCTTTGTTTATAACTTTTATTACAATCAATGAAATCACATACAAATGGCTTTACACTGAAATGTATGCGTTTGTGACGAATAAGAGTTTCCTTTTCAGCAAAACTTTTGCCACAATTTTCTTCATTACATTTAAATCGCCTTTCATTCAAATGAACGGTTAGTTTGTGTTGAAATAAATTGTGTTTTAGTGAAAAACTTTTGCCACAATTTTTTTCCTCACATTTAAATGGCTTTTCCTTCAAATGAACACAACTTTTATGTGTAATTAAATGAGCTTTTCTTCTAAATCGTTGGTTACAATCAATAAAATTACATTTAAATGGTTTTTCTCCCAAATGTATTCGTTTGTGTCGATCTAAATATCGTTTTGTTGTAAATGTTTTGTCACAATTGTTTTCATCACATTTGAATAACTTTTCCATCGTATGAACACATTTTTTGTGAACAAATAAACCATTTTTTGTTCTAAAACTTTTATCGCAATCATTGAAATCACATTTAAATAATTTTAGTCCCAAATGCTTGTATTTGTGGGCAATTAAAGTCTGTTTATTTACAAATCTTTTGCCACACTTTTCTTCATTACATTTGAATCGCTTTTCTTTCAAATGAACACAACTTTTATGTTTTATTAATGTCGATATTTGTGTAAAACCTTTATTGCAATCATTGAAATCACAAACAAATGGCTTTTCTCCCGAATGAACGCGTCTGTGTTGAATAAGACCATGTTTTTCGCTAAAACTTTTACCACAATCTTTTTCATCACATTTGAAACGCCTTTCATTCAAATGAAAACATCTTTTGTGATGAATTAGTGAATGTTTTTGTACAAACTTTTTGTCACAATCGTTGACATCACAAACATATCTTTGCTTCAAATGAACACAACTCTTGTGTAACATTAAAGTTGACTTCAATTTATAGCTTTTATCGCAATTAATATAATTGCATTTAAATTGTCTAATGTTTGTATGCATTACTTCATGTCGTTTCAAATCTTTGTTATATTTAGTCTTGAAGTGACAATTAGGCCAAAAACAGTGGAAATACTTGTTATAATTTGAATGATTTATTTGATGTTTTGTTAAATCACTCTTTCGTTTGGCTTTATATTTACAATCATTCAAAAGACACCGAAAATACTTATTATTATTATTAGTGTTAATAATTGAAAGCAATGTTTCACTGATTTTCAATGGTTTGCAATCAATATTAGTTAGATTTATTGATTCAATCGTTTCATTCAAAACACTATAATTTGTATTCAAAATACATTGCATTTTGTCTATCGTTTCGCAAAAAATCTTCATTCCATTGAATTTATTCCTCATTTGATTGAAATCCAAGTCTTCTATCACTTGAGCCCACGTTTGGCTGTCGTTGTCTTCGGTGGCCATCACTTCATCGACTCGGAGATTGTGTCCACACATGTGTCCACACAAACTGACAGCACTTCACGAATCATCGAAAGTATTGAATCCCAGAAACTGTCCGTCACTTCAGCACTAAATCCGGTTTCAGTTAAACACAAATCAATTGAGACTTTGATTAAATAATTAAATACACAATCAAAACTTTTGCCGCAATTTATAGACAAAGGAATTGAATTTCAAGTCTTGAAAGCAAAACATAAAACACTTATTTCAAGCATTGACTCAACTCTGACTCATTCTCCAACATTCTCTTTGAACATTTTCAGAGTTCATTATATGACTCGATAGAGAAATGCATTGCATATAAAATACCAAGTGTTTTATCATTGAATGTAATAAAAATCAAACATTAATTGAATTACTTTTGCATTAAAACATTCAATTCATTTGGTTTCCAGAAAAATATTTTGAAAATATTATTGAATTCAAAATTATATTTATTTAATTGCATTAATTGTTCACCATGTTATTTATATTTAAATTTGATTACAAATTGTGTATTTTAATTAAACTTCAATTAAAAATACAAAATATAATATTATAATCACAATCGTATTAAATTCAATTTAAATTAAATGCAATTATAATTAAAAGTGCAATTTTTTGAACATATTTTTTGCGTTTAGTTGCTATAAATTAGGATTAATTACAGTATTTAAAATTTAAATTCAAAACTTTATATAAATTTATAACAGGAAACTCGTGGTAGAGATAGAAATCAATAAATGTTCATAAAATGGTTTATATAATTGAGTGCCCTTTGTATCCATTGGACCCTTTATACCCTTTGGACTGTTTGGACCCTTTCGACCCTTTGGACACTTCGGACAGGTATTGTTCGCAATACAACACCAAACTTTGCGCTACTTTGTTGGCCAATTTTGGCTTTAGTTCACATATATTCACAAATACATAGAGTTTTGATAAAACATACGGATTCTGCGAATAAAATTGCAAAACAAAAAGTATTAATAAAATTGCATTATGGTAATAATACAAACATTAAAAATTATTATAATATTTGTATAAATGTGTCAAAAACACTGACTTGAGTCAAACCAAAGCAGTTGTCACTAAAAGTGTCGACAACTGTGCGATAACAGCCAAAGTTAACCCTCGTTAGCACACGTCTGGTGTTGTCCATAATGTCATCGATGGCCTCCAATTCCAACAAATCTTTAACATGATCAACTAATTTGGCAAGGTGAAACATCAGGAACTCTCGGGCCTCCAGGTAGATTGCCAATTGCTCGACCAAGCTGATTATTGCGATTAAATTATGCATTAATTAAAGGCAATTAAAAACATCAGGTTTATTTACATTTCACGTTCAGTACTATTAGTGGTGCTCTCAATGGTTCTGTTAAGGGTATGTATGGGCACATCAGTGGCATCGACAGCATCTAGATCATTTGTAGGCTTTGCACCTAAACTTGATGGTTGTTTTGATCCTATTTTTGTTTTGCAAAACAAGCTAGGTTAATTTGTTATTACCGGTACAATACTTACCCAAGAACAGTGATAGTGGTTGATTACTTTCTGTCATATCACCATATTGCTGAACATGAGATGTAGTGGTAATATTCTTAACGAGTACATACTGATCCTCAAGTGTCACCTTGGCCAAATTGCTGGCCTCGCTGTTTTCCATCCAGTGCGAACTATATGAATCACCTAGTTATATAAATGTATAATGTGTAATTAAGCATTTATAGGCAACATGCTAATAAAAGTGGGTCTGACCAAGCCAAGTTTTACGATAACTATCGTAATAACGCGAATAACTTGATTGAGTTGTGTTGGCCGCAGTGTTAGCGTAAACATTGATATTATTTGGTAAAAATTGGTCAAACATTGAACCTGTAATCGACACATAAGTTTACGATTAATTATAAACATGGTTATAAATTTTATATTATAAATACAATAGTAATCGCAGTCATATGTAATACAAACCCGAATAACACGCTTCCATATAGAAGACAAGCCGTGAATACATTTTCCTGCGATACATGTATTGCAACGCGTCGTTCAAGTCGTTGGCGTATAAGTAATCGCTTGCAAAGGCAACTAAGGCTACATTAATCATACAAAAACACAATTTTACAATTTAGCATGATTGGTTATAAAATGATATTTAGTAATACCATGTCCGCCATGATCTGAGAAGTATATAAACACATTATCCAGTGGTCCGCTGCGAAGCACTTTCTTCCCGCTTAATGCCAATAATGGGTCGCCTTTTATAACACGTAGAAAATTCTAGCGATAAATTTAACATATATTTATCAATGTATTATTTTATCATGGTAATTAAATTTGTGGCAATTAATCAGTTTGAATATACTTTGGCTGAGACATCCTCTCCCGTATAGTGTTTGGGCACTCCTTCGTAGACATTAGTGCCGTTGGGCTGATTGACGACTACACCGGGCGTAGGGTTACTGTCGTGGTGTGCGATGTCGTCGTAATGCATGACAATTATATTGCTGTCAGGAATGCCATGGCTTTTAACCAAATGGTACGCGTGATAGATGTTGGCCTGCATTTGGGTATTCAAATAATACAGTATATGCAACTTGATGGTTTTGTTTGTATTTTAATCATGCCAATACCTGATGTCTATAATTTGTCCATGTATGCGCCCCAGCGACCAATACAGCCCAATTGAACCCGTTCAATTTCTGGCCATTAATGTCTGCGAATAAATATAATAATACTATCCACGATATGTGTTTCATCATGATCAATTTAAATAGTTTTATATTTAAGCTCAGTTTAGTACACATTTAACACTAAATCTAAGCAATTTAATTTAAATTCGCATATGTTATATAATATGACATTTTACTATTAAAATGAAAATATAGCAAAATTTTTATTTTTTTGTAGATTTAAGTTTTTTCACAAAACTATTTATAGAAAAAGTAGACATAAAATCTGTTTATGATTTAATTTAAGTCTGCGTTTAATTATTCAGTTTATTAAATGAAAATTAATCTGAAATAAATGTTCATATGTTTTGGAATTCAAATCAAAATTAAATTATAAATAAAATATCATTTTAATCTAACTGTCAAACAAGTTGAGTAAAATGTGTTAGTTTTAAATAATTAAAATTTATTCAAGTTTAGTTTATCAATTAATAATTATTTAAATAGATTATCCCTAAAATATGATAACTCTGTGGGGTTTGAAATTTTTAAATTTTATTAGAAAAACAGCTAAGATTTTTCGCATTAATTATTGACAATGTTTGAATATTATAATTAAATTTATATTAGATTTAATCTAAATTAATATACAATAATCTATCATATTTCCAGAGTAATGTAATTTAAAAGTTACAATTATATTGTTCGTTATTTTAAATTATTATTAAAATGCAATTTTATGTGAATTTTTATGAATAGGAAAAGAAAATACATATTTTTAAAAAATTATAGTAAATTATAATTACAAAATGAAAATGTGATCAAAGATTGACACAAAATGTTGATTTCGTTGTATTCTATCATTCATTCAAATGCACACATTTTTTATGTCGATATAAAGTTTTTTTCTAAACTTTTTGTTACAATTATTTAAATCACAAACAATTAGTTTTTCTCCCAAATGTGTGCCATTGTGTCGAATTAGATCTGAAATACTATTAAAATTTTTGCCACAATTTTCTTCATTACATTTGAATCACTTTTCTTTCAAATGAACATAACTTTTATGTCGATTCAAATGTGATTTATTTGTAAAACGTTTATTACATTCATTAAAATCACATTTAAATGGTTTTTCATTCAAGTGTTGAAATTTGTGTGAAATTAGAGTTGATTTTCGACCAAAACCTTTGCCACAATTTTCTTCATTACATTTGAATAGCTTTTCCTTAAAATGAACACAACTTTTGTGTTTAACTAAATCTGATATTTGTATAAAACCTTTATTACAATCATTGTAGTCGCATCGAAATGGCTTTTCTCCCGAATGAATGAGTTTGTGTTTAATTAAATGTTGTTTTGTAGCAAACATTTTGCCACAATTTTTTTCATTACATTTAAACCTCTTTTCTTTCAAATGAACACAACTTTTGTGTTGAAATAAATTATATTTGTTTGTAAATGTTTTGTCACAGTCTTTGAAATCACATTTAATTCTTTTATTTAAATGAACGATATTTTTGTGATGAAATAAATGTGATCTTAGTTTATAAACTTTATTACAATAATTAAAATCACATTTAAATGGTTTGATATTTGTATGAATTAATTGGTGTTCACTTAAACTTGTTTTCAATTTAGTCTTGAAGTGACAATTGGGCCAAAAACAGCGGAAATACTTATTACTTAAATGAACGCTATTTTTGTGTTTAATTAAATATGATTTACTTTTAAAACTTTGATTACAATCATTAAAATCACATTTAAATTGCTTTGTATTTGAATGAATTAATTGATGTGTAATTGAATGGGATTTGCGTTTTGTTTTATATTCACATTTAGGCCAAAAACAGTGGAAATATTTATTATTATTAATTGTATTTTTACTTTCAATCAAATTATAACTGCTTTTCGTTTCATTCATTGAAAGCAATGTTTCACTGATTTTGAATGTTTTGCAAACAATTGTTTGATTTAAATGTAAATCCAAATGATTTAATGATTCAATCGTTTCATTAAAAAGACTATAATTTGTATTCAAAATACATTGCATTTTGTCTATCGTTTCGCAGAAAACCTTCATTTATTGAATTTATTCCTCATTTGATTGAAATCCAAGTCTTCTATCACTTGAGCCCACGTTTGGCTCGAGTTGTCTTCGGTGGCCATCACTTCATCGACTCGTCGATTGTGTCCACACTTTGTTCATCCGATTCTCGGCAATCAATTCAACACTAAATCCGATAACAATTCACTTAAACACAAATCAATCAAAACTTTTGCCGCAATTTATAGACAAAGCGTTTGAAAGCATGGCTTAAAACAGTTTGGTCTCAAACATTGACTCACCTCTGAATCCCTTACAGTCCACACAAAATCTCTCATTAGTTTATATAAAGTTTGTTTAGTTCTTATTCCTAACTATTTTCTCCTAAATATAGGAAAATTTTCCAAAAATTCCATTCAATTAATATTAGAATAGACTTTCTATGGGAAACATTGTGTGATATTCCGGGAACTTCTCAACAGTAATATCAAATATTTCAGAGTTCATTGTATGACTCAATAGTGAAATGCATTTCATATGAGTTATCATTAGTTTTATCATTGAATCCAATGTTAACTCAAATCTATTGAAAATAAAACATCGCTTGAAATGACTTTTGTATTGAATCTAACGTTTTGTCCATTCATTTGCATTGAAAGGCATTAATGTTTATGGCTTAGATATATGAACTATACCAGAGGGCTCCTTATTCTATGTATGGTAAAATCCTATTCATGTTATATGGTAAAATCCCGATTGCCAACTTGAACCAATTTGCCGATTGTCCTTTGTATATGTAGGGTTAAGACGCTTATGGCATGGGAATGAAATAAAGGGAATATGCCGGGCATTTATTGGCATTTATCGGACGTTTATTTTGGCTGCCCTATAAATTCCCTACATTTTTTCAACGTCTAATGTTAAAAACATTTTCAAGCGGTGCTGCCATCTAGTTAAGATGGGCATTTATTTATTTTTGAAGGCATTTATCGGGAATATGCCCGACTGGGAATGTGCCCGACAAGCCATTTATTTTTATAAATGCCATTNAGCGGTGCTGCCATCTAGTTAAGATGGGCATTTATTTATTTTTGAAGGCATTTATCGGGAATATGCCCGACTGGGAATGTGCCCGACAAGCCATTTATTTTTATAAATGCCATTTTTAAGATCACTATGTATATGTACGGTATGGTGATTATTTTTGTGACAATTTTACATTCAGTCAATCTGTATAGTGTTGACATAGGTTCCCCACCGCTACTTTAGACCCTTTTGACCCTTCGGACCCTTTAGATCCTTTGGATTGTTTGGACCCTTTAGACCCATAGGACACTTCGGACAGGTATTGTTGACAATACAATACCAAACGTTGCGCTACTTTTTTAGCCAATTTTGGCTTTAGTTCACATATATTCACAAATACATAGAGTTTTGATAAAACATACGGATTCTGCGAATAAAATTGCAAAACAAAAAATATTAATAAAATTGCATTAAAGTAATAATAAAAATTATTATAATATTTATCTAAATGTGTCAAAAACACTGACTTGAGTCAAACCAAAGCAGTTGTCACTAAAAGTGTCGACAACTGTGCGATAACAGCCAATGTTAACCCTCGTTAGCACACGTCTGGTGTTGTCCATAATGTCATCGATGGCCTCCAATTCCAACAAGTCTTTAACATGATCAACTAATTTGGCAAGGTGAAACCTCAGGAACTCTCGGGCCTCTAGGTACATCGCCAATTGCTCGACCAAGCTGATTATTGCGATTAAATTATGCATTAATTAATGACAATTAAAAACATGAGATTTATTTACATTTCACGTTCAGTACTATTAGTGGTGCTCTCAATGGTTCGGTTAAGGGTATGTATGGGCACATCAGTGGCATCGACAGCATCAAGATCATTTGTCGGCTTTGCACCTAAACTAGATGGTTGTTTTGATCCTATTTTTTGCAATACAATCATGATTAATTTCTGACCATTGAGGTACAATACTAACCCAAAAACAGCGATAGTGGTAGATTACTTTCTTTCATATCACCATATTGCTGAACATGCGATGTAGTGGTAATGTTCTTAACAAGTTCATACTGATTCTCAAGTGTCACCTCTGCCAAATTGCTGGCCTCGCTGTTTTCCATCCAGTGCGAACTATATGAATCACCTAGATATATAAATTTAGAATGTGTATTTAATAGAACATATGCTGCGCAAAGTGTGTCTGACCAAGCCAAGTTTTACGATAACTATCGTAATAACGTGAATAACTTGATTGAGTAGTGTTGGCTGCAGTGTTAGCGTAAACATTGATATTATTTGGTAAAAATTGATCAAACATCGAGCCTATAATAAGTAAATTATAAACATGATCATAAATAGCAATTGCAATACAAACCCGAATAACACGCCTCCATATAGAAGACAAGCCGTGAATACATTTTCCTGCGATACATGTATTGCAACGCGTCGTTCAAGTCGTTGGCGTATAAGTAATCGCTCGCAAAAGCAACTAAAGCTATATTCATTAAATTAAAAAACAAACATTTGCAACTTTGTAAATATAATTTTTAAATTAGCATGATAGGTTATTAAAATAATGTTTGGTACTACCATGTCCGCCGTGATCGGAGAAGTATATAAACACATTATCCAGGGGTCCGCTGCGAAGCACTTTCTTCCCGCTTAATGCCAATAATGGGTCCCCTTTCATAACGCTTAGAAAATTCTAGTAAACAATATTTACCATATATTTATCAATGAATTTTATCATCATGGTGACAAATTTTATGGGAATTAATCAGTTTGCATATACTTTGGCGCTCACAGCATCTCCCGTATAGTGTTTGGGCACTCCTTCGTAGACATTAGTACCGTTGGGCTGATTGATGACTACACCGGGCGTTGGGTTACTGTCGTGGTGTGCGATGTCGTCGTAATGCATGACAATTATATTGCTGTCAGGAATGCCATGGCTTTTGATCAAATGGTACGCGTGATAGATGTTAGCCTGGGTATTCAAATATAACAGTATATGCAACTAGATGGATTTGTTTGTATTTTAACCAATAATACCTGATGTCTGTAGTTTGTCCATGTATGCGCCCCAGCGACCAATACAGCCCAATTGAACCCGTTTAATTTCTGTCCATTAATGTCTGCAAATAAATAAAATAATGATATCCATGATATGTGTTTCATCATGATCGATTTAATTAGTTTTAGTATGTAAGCTCAATTTAGTACACATTTAACACTAAATCTATACAATTTAAATTATTCGCATATGTTATATAATATGACATTTTACTAATAGAATGAAAATATAGCAAAATATTTAATTTTTTTGTAAATTTAAGTTTTTTTCACAAAACTATTTATAGAAAAAGTAGACATAAAATCTGTTTATGATTTAATTTAAGTCTGCGTTTAATTATTCAGTTTATTAAATGAAAATTAATCTGAAATAAATGTTTATATGTTTTGGAATTCAAATCAAAATTAAATTATAAATAAAATATCATTTTAATCTAACTGTCAAACAAGTTGAGTAAAATGTGTTAGTTTTAAATAATTAAAATTTATTCAAGTTTAGTTTATCAA